CAAGGTAGGTAACAGATAAACTTGTTATCACTAAAATCAGATCTATATTCAAGGTAAGTAACAGATAAACTTATTATCTCTAAAATCAGATCTATATTCAAGATAGGTAACAGATAAACTTATTATCTCTAAAATCAAACCTATATTCAAGGTAGGTAACAGATAAACTTGTTATCTCTAAAATCAGATCTATATTCAAGGTAGATAACAGATAAACTTGTTATCTCTAAAATCAGATCTATATTCAAGGTAAGTAACAGATAAACTTGTTATCTCTAAAATCAGATCTATATTCAAGGTAGATAACAGATAAACTTGTTATCTCTAAAATCAGATCTATATTCAAGGTAGGTAACAGATAAACTTGTTATCTCTAAAATCAGATCTATATTCAAGGTAGGTAACAGATAAACTTGTTATCTCTAATATCAAATCTATATTCAAGGTAGGTAACAGATAAACTTGTTATCTCTAAAATCAGATCTATATTCAAGGTAGGTAACAGATAAACTTGTTATCTCTAAAATCAGATCTATATTCAAGGTAGGTAACAGATAAACTTGTTATCTCTAAAATAAGATCTATATTCAAGGTAGGTAACAGATAAACTTGTTATCTCTAAAATCAGATCCATATTCAAGGTAGATAACAGATAAACTTGTTATCTCTAAAATCAGATCTATATTCAAGGTAGATAACAGATAAACTTGTTATCTCTAAAATCAGATCCACATTCAAGGTAAGTAACAGATAAACTTGTTATCTCTAACATCAGATCTATATTCAAGGTAGGTAACAGATAAAGTAAGATAACTGCCGATATATTGATACGAATGTCTACACTGATAGTAACACAGATCACTAGAGATTAGACCGAACAGTATCCACGTATTTGGATGGTTAGTAGCAAAGAAAACTAGCTAGAGATATAGAAATATTGAGATATGGCCAAACCCTTAAACACCTTACCCTACACTCTCTATATTATACCAGTAGTGACAGTTTAATAAGTTTTCAAACTGTAACTTATATTGGCACAATTTATTATTTATGATATTGCCTTTTTTTCTTTCCCATTTCTTTAATGAAAGGATATTTTTCAACAGAATGCAATATTACGCAATCTGTGACCAAAATATTGGCGTATCTGTTCTATCAAATCCAAATAAGCATTTTCCTTACCATTGATTAAATTATAAATGGGATTGTAAATAGGTTTTCTAAATTTTTATATGTGTATCAGGGACATTGCTAGCATCAATTTGCGCCATTCAAATTTTCAACTAGAGGTCTGAGGTTCCTCGTCATTCGTCATTCACGGCAGTGGGGTCATTATTGGCCAATTTGGATCAAATTGAGATTTTTCTGAATTACAATCCGTTGTGTGGTTCTGTGGCAATGAACAGAGATAGCTCACCAGGCAAGGTATAACATACGCCCACTGGCAGATGTCAGAAATGATAAACAGTCTTTAGTGACTAAAATATGAATATTCTCATATTAAAGAAATATTATATTGAATTTAATGATATATATATCTACTGACAGTTATTTATGCTGAGAAATTCCACAATTTTTTTTAAATCAATATCAATAACCCAAATACATCAAATTACTAAATCACACAGCTCTAATATCATTGTTGAAAATTAAAACATGACCAAGATCTCATCAATATAAATAAAACAATTCATAAAAATCACATGAAATCTCTATTGTGGTCATGAACAAATTTTGATGCGGTTTTCCTAAGTCAACAGCAATAACTCAAATACATTTTAGAAGGAGAGTCGGTCATGTCCGGCATATATGGGCAACTAATGATCCCTGGTTCTCACGAAAAGTTGACGGACCGACGGATCGACGCACAGGGGCGACGGCAATATACGTCCACATTTCCATGTGGGCGTATGAAAAACTAACAGTGTCAATTTCAACTGTCTACGCAGTTTGTATTCTTTTTGCTCAAACCAACAGAGAGAAAGCGCATTGCGTACTCGCCAGAACCAACCACAGAATTTACAAAATCTTGGCACTATTTTGCATCGACAATAGCGTTTCCTTAATGAACTGTTTACAAGCTTCACAAAGTCCATTCAGAGTCGTTGTGTGGCAGTTGTCAACGCACATGATGGTCATCACGCTACTGAACTTGTGTACCATCAGTACTAAGTGAAGTTAGTTCAGTATCTTTACGCTTCCGAATTAGAAAATATATTCTATTCTAAACCAAAGTGCGGTTTTCCATCAAAATTTAACGTGCCAGTATAGGCTGCATATGCAATTTTAGACCGAAACAACTGTCTGTTTTCCAGCTCTGGTGGCTTTCTGGACAGATGTCAGCTGGTGTAATATCAGTCTCTTTTCCAGCTCTGATGGCTATTTGTACAGATGTCAGCTGGTGTAACATCAGTCTCTTTTCCAGCTCTGATGGCTATCTGGACAGATGTCAGCTGGTGTATCACCTGTCTCTATTCCAGTTCTGAAAGCTATTTGGACAGATGTCAGCTGGTGTATCACCTTTCTCTATTCCAGTTCTGAAAGCTATTTGGACAGATGTCAGCTGGTGTATCACCTTTCTCTACTCCAGTTCTGAAAGCTATCTGGACAGATGTCAGCTGGTGTAGAGACAGAAATAATAAGCCCTGTTAAATAGGTACATTCTGCGTCACCACAGGTGCGATGGTTTTAAACCTAATTAGATAACCCAGGTATATTTATAAAAATGAATATTTTTGTAGTTCATTCATACCATAATTTTCTACCTACATGTATCCGGTTCCATCAAAGTTTTTTTTTTTTTGCGAAACTGATCGGCCATTTAAAACTGCGTGCGAAGTCAAACGTTCAAAGGTCACGGAGACACGTGATACTAACAAAACAAAAGTTACGGTGATGTCCAACACTTATTTACAATCATATTAAAGGTAATTCAATATTATGTTACAGAAAAACGTATCTTTGGAGGTGTGGAAAATCTCCATTTAACAGGGTCTTTTTCTTCTGATTCTACTCCAAAATATCCACTAGAAATGGAGGCAGATGTTTCGGACTAATGCAGTTTTAAGACAACTTTAATTCTTGCTTGCCACGTTTCTCTTCTCTTCTATATAAACCCATACAAACTTACCTTCTCTACTCACAACTCTATCAAGAAGACAAAATGACTGTCATATCTAATTTGATGTTGGTAATTGTTGTACTGTGTGTTGTTTCTTTACAAGTCGCCAGTCCTAAACCTAATTTACGCACCAGAAAAGCTGTTGACGCAGGAAAAGAAGGTAAAATTATTCATCTATAACCTAGAGACTATAGTCCTTGGCGCATATTTGGGGTGGGCAGTTATTGTGCATGCATCTAATTCTTTTGAACTATTCTCTATGGCCTCGTTACACCGGAAGCTTCTTACGGTGCTACTGCTGAGATGGAAGTTTGGCTCAGAGCGTGGTTTTAGCGTATAGGACACACCAGGCATCGTGCAATTGTCGCCATTGTCGACACTATTTCCTCAAGTCATGGTGTTTATTTTGAACGCGTTCAACGCCAAGATTCTGCGATCTGTTCTGGATGGTTGGGGAACGCCATTAGATCGACATCTCCTTGAGCGGTGTAATTGTAAAGCACACGCTTAGCAAAGACGCTGCTAAAACGTTAGAACGCAATACAAACATATTTAAAAACACTACGTAAGATTTTGCAAGTTCGTTTAGAAACTACTGTTAGGATTTGAGCAAAATTAACACCAGATTTGAGAGAAATGTGTCTCGCAGGTATTTTAAAAGTTTCAAATAATAATATCGATCCATTATAAAACCAAACACCATAACTAGATCAAACTGCTAGATTACTAATTACACAAGAGACATATAGAGGCGTATATATTACTCAAATCCATACCCAAGTTTTTTAACAGCTTCCAATAATCAAAACGAACTTTAAAACCTTGCGTAATGTTTTAAGATATTTTTCGTGTTTTAAAATTAACGAATTGTCTCTTGAAGTTCGTGTTAGTATAAAACGTCTTTGAAAGAGTGCCAGAAAAGTCACCCATATACTAATGGTCCTCGAGTACCCTCAATTAGTACTATCAATACGAGTTGCGATCTTACGGCGAAACATCTACAATGTAATCTTTGAGTATAACAAATTATATGTGAATATGGTATTTATTTCAGATTGTTATAATATTACAAAAGACAAATGGTTGTATTATGAGTATTTGAAGCTAAATTTGGTTAAAACCGAAGATGAATGCAAACCATTATGTGAGAAGAATAACAAATGTAGCACATTTTGGTTACAGAGATATGATATTAGTGAAGACATAAAATTCTTCTGTGTTCTGCAACAAAAACCAATTATCTTTGTGGCAGAAGATATGAACGTGGAGGAGTGTAAACAGAATTGTGCGGCGATGAAGGAATGCAAAACACTTATGAATTATAGAAGGTCCTGTTATTTGTATGACATTGAATACAGTAATATACCTGCTGATAAATTTAAACAAGACACTGGTTCTATAGTAGCACAGAAAACTTGTTAGAGCTATAGGAATATTGAGATATGACCAAACCCTTAAACACTTTACCCTACACTCTCTATATTATACCAGTAGTGACAGTTTAATAAGTTTTCAAACTCTAACTAAAATTGGCATATCTTATTGTGGGACTTTGCTTTCAGCAAAGTCCCAGTTTGTTATCGAAATGTCCATTCTTTTTTTTTTTTTTTTTTTTTTTTTTTTTTTTTTTCGTTTCGTCCACACCTTCCCGAGCTTAGACTGCAGTAGTTGTAGTAACGTTTCGAATTTCATAGACCTTCTATATAGGTGACGATGTGCATAAATATAAATTGGAACATTTTTGCAAAACCGGAAGTGCCACAGTTCATCATGTGCAAAAAGTCGAAAATCGGCTCTAGAAGGCGCATTTTTGCATCGATTTTCTTCGGGTTTTCATTTTTACAATCTACCTGTAATTTCTGACCTGATAGCACTTGAAAAATTACGAAATTCGAAAATTCGTCGCTCACTTTTTTCGATCAAATTTTTCGATTTTTTTGCAACTTTTTTGCTTTTGCATCCATTGATCTGAAATTTTAAATGCAAAAAGACTTCACTAATGTTAATAATATGATACAGTCAAATTTTGTACGTCATTTCCGATTTTCAACAGGAAAGCGACTGAACTTCAAATCTACTTCCGNGTTGAATAACTTCCGNGTGTAATTTATGTAGGTCAACAAAATTCGGCTGATCTTTGGC